CCATATTGCTTTCCAGAGAGATTGGACAGCATTGCAGTAGCATCTCAGTCTTTCCACATCCTCTCCAGAATTTATTCTGGTCTACGTTTTTGACTTTGTTGTTATTGCTGGTATGATATGATATCTCATTATTGTTTTGATTTGCATCTCTCTAATGGATGGTAATCATGAACATTCTTCATATGTTTATTGGTGGCCTGGATCCCCTCCTTGGTGACGTGTCTGTTAATGTCCTGTGCCCATTTATTAATTGGGTTATTTGTCTTTTTCTTGTGGAGGTGTTGTAGTTTCCTATATATTTTAGAAATTATTCCCTTTTCCAACATGTCATTGCAAAAGTTTTTTTTCTCCGATCTGGTCCTACTCAAGCCTCGGGTCTCCTCACGTTACCACCAGCATAAAGCCGATTCTACTGCAAGGCCATGAGCAGTCCATTATACAGATCACGTGCAACCGCGAGGGAGACCTTCACCGTGGCCAAGGACCCTACTGTCAATGTATGGTACTCCGTGAATGGGGAGAGGCTGGGCACCTACAATGGCTACACTGGAGCTGTGTAGTGTGTGGACGCAGAATGGGACACCAAGCATGTCCTGACGGGCTCAGTTGGCAACAGCTGTGGTCTCTGGGACTGTGAAACAGGGAAGCAGCTGGCTCTACTCAAAACCAACTCCGCTGTCCATACCTGTGGCTTTGACTTTGGGGGTAACATCATTATGTTCTCCATGGACAAGCAGATGGGCTATCAGTGCTTTGTGAGCTTCTTCGATCAATGGGACCCAAGCCAGATCGACAGCAATGAGCCCTACATGAAGATCCCTTACAGTGATTCCAAGATCACTAGTGCTGTTTGGGGACCCTTAGGAGAATGCATCATTGCAGGCCATGAGAGCAGAGAGCTCAACCAGTTCAGTGCCAAGTCTGGAGAGGTGTTGGTGAATATTAAGGAGCACTCCTGGCAAATCAATGACATCCAGTTATCCAGAGATATGACCATGTTTGTTATTGCATCCAAGGACAACACATCTATGCTCTTTGATTCCACAACCCTTGAACACCAGAAGACTTTCCGGACAGAACATCCTGTCAACTCAGCTGTCCTTTCTCCCAACTATGATCACGTGGTGCTAGGTGGTGGTCAAGAAGCGATGGATGTAACCACAACCTGTACCAGGATTGGCAAGTTTGAAGCCAGGTTTTTCCACTTGGCCATTGAAGAAAAATTTGGAAGGGTCAAGGGTCACTTTGGACCTATCAACAGTGTTGCCTTCCATCCTGATGGCAAGAGTTACAGCAGCGGTGGTGAAGATGGCTACTTACGCGTTCACTACTTCGACCCACAGTACTTTGAGTTTGAAATTGAAGCTCAAGGAACTGGATCTCCATCTGAGTTGCTCACAGAAGGTTTCGGACTCTGGGAAATAAATTTGTTTGGAAAGGAAAAAAAGAGTTTTTCCTATTCTGTGGGTTCCCTTTTTACTCTTCTGGAGAAGTCTTTTGATGTACACATGTTTTTAATTTTTAGTATGTCCCAATCATCTATATTGTCTATTTTTATTTGTGTAGTTTTCAAAATTTTTGGTAGTCTGTGTATGCCCTGAATTACAGCCCTCACATTTGTCCTTATTTTTTCATTGATGGCCTTCATAAATCTGGGATTCACATTTAGGT